GCATACGAGAGGACCACAATCCCCTATGGGTCCTTTCATTTGTTGTGGTGCGGTCTCGTCTCTGCTAACTGTAATATTGAGCTTCTTTGACTTCTTGTTTCCAGAACGAGTCCAATAATTTATCGCATCCAAGAATTTAGCCAAATAAGAGCTCCATCCCTTAATAATATCTCTTAAATCAGCCAATGATATGTAATTTATCATCCTGTCATATACTATTGCCTTAAGGGATGGGATCTGAAGCTCGACGAGAAGCCAATGTTTACGTTCCAAAACAGGGATAAACACCTGCAATCATAAGTAATAATTCATTCATTTGCGCACTTATTTATGAATACCTTTAAACTCAATCTAAAATAAACACTAACCTTATCAACCTCCCACCATGCAGGATAAAGTTTAGCTTGTCCATTGCCCAACGCAAATGATTCATCTCGTTGATTCTTCAAGTGAACGGCGTTAAAAGACGTCGGCATAATTGTATATCGTGTATTTCTTTTATTTTCCTTAAGTTTCCTAATTATTAGAAGACGTGACACCCACGCATGGATATGCTGTTTTTACAAAAAAAGACATATATTAGTAACTTACATAAATTTAAAAAAAAAATCAAATTAAAATATAAGAAAAATATAAGACTTACCCCTCCATCGAAATAGCCATTGTCTTCGACCCCTAATAATACGCCCCACCAAGACGATCAAGCAACAAATAGATATCATCGTTGAGCTTGTATATGTCAGTGAAACACCCCTGGCTCCGCTCATGTAGATAAAAATCAACTGCGGTCTTAGCCCAAAGGGTGTTATCCAGAATTGTGTCCGGTAGTTGTTTCCTCTCCACTTCAGATACCGGTATGGTACTGGCCGGTAACTCATACGAGAGCCAACTTGAATCCATCATGTCCGGCACGTCAGAGGGTTTCTCAAGAATCCTACATATGACGTCATGTGAATCGGGCTCTTGAATGGTGGGAGGGACCTCTTCAACGATGACAGTGGCCTCTTGAACGGTGGGAGGGGACTCTCGAGGAATGATAGGGGCCTCTTCAACGATAGGAGTGGACTCTTGAGGGATGACAGGCGAGTCGGGCTTCTTCTTGCGGTGTCTTCGTACTATTGGGGTGTACGGAGACTTAATAGCACGTGCACGCCGTCTGATGCGTGAACTCTGTCGTGCAAGAAAAACCCGACGTAAAGCATCCACCTTATCGGTCCGCTAAATAATTAAATACAAATATCAATAAATAAACAGACATGATATTTAAACAGTGAAAACAAAGACAAATATATTTCAAACTTTCAACCAAAAGACAAAACAAAGATAAATACTAACTTCACAGTGTTAAAGAATACACAGTTTAGCAGAATTGGCAGCAACTGAATAAATTTACTTCAACCAAAAGATAAAACAAAAAGACAAATACTAACTTCACAGTGTTAATAAACAATTTAGCAGTATTGGCAGCAACCGAATAAATTTACTAAGCAATCTAAGTGAAATGGTTAATTTAAGTGAAATTACGAGTAAATTTATCATCAAGTTAAATATGAAAATCTTAAACTTACCTCGTTGCGTAGAGTATGAACCTCATTCTGCAACGATACTACCATCTCACGTAGAGCGGCAACCTCACCACGTAAAGTAGACACCTCCACACGCCATGCACCATCGTTATCGCGTAGAGTACCGATCTCCTCACGCAAGGCATTGACCTCATCACGTAACTCCCTTGACTCATCCCGTGGAGGTGGAGAACAGGGAGATAGAAGTCGTGGCATCTTTGCCGGTCGCCTATCATGAGGTGATGGTAGAGAAGAGGCTCGATGATGTGACGGGATAGGTGATGGCTCTCGTTGTAGATGTGTATAGTCGGGTCGATTAGGTGATGGCTCTGGGTGAGGTGATGGCTCTCGAAGTGGAGGAAGTGGAGGTTGCTCATCATTCGTGCCATCAAGAAAACGCTGACTAGCTTGCCACCAATCAGTGGCAAGCTCAGCCTCTGTGGGTGTCAGTCTCATTAATGGAATGTTGGCCTCCTAAAAATATAAAAACTCAAACAAAGTTAAACGTATACTATTAATAACTTGTTTATATATGATAATATTTGTGTTAACTTACATTATTTATTATCGCATATGGTATTAAGTCTTCTCAATCCAACAGACGTTTCCTCTTCTAGGAAATAGCCCTAGGAATATCATTTGAGGTTTTTAATACATATGTCCGTATGCTGGGGAAAGCCTCGAATATCCAAATCTACAAACAATATAATAACAAACATTAGTAATTGTTAAATAATTAATTATAATTTTGAAAACATTATATAGAAATTTTTACCTTAAAGGCCCAAACAAAGCCTGACAAAGTGTATTTCGACCCATCGCCCCGCAAACTTTTACAGTCATCAAAGGCAGACGACAACTTAGTCCAAGTAGCTTTCCATATATACGAACCCCACGGAAACAGATTCCATGCATTTAGGTCCTCTACCAATAATATTAGCTCCTGATGAATAGGTTGTTTGGCCTCTCTGCCTAAAAAGCTGGCATACAAAAGTAGTAGAAGGCATACTCGGACAACATCGACGTCATTCATCCGAGTAAAACTATCTTTCTTATAAAACAATTTCTTCATGTCGTCGACGTGTAAGTTCGGCTTCTCTATTGACTCATCAGGAAAAACCTTGGATAACCATGATGGGCGGGTGATATGACGAGTGTACCGGCCTACATCATCGTGTCCGAATCGTAGACCAGTGATTAAGCAGAACTCCTTTCGCCCAAAACAAGTATACGCCGGTGGAAAATGAAACCATATCTCTTCCTCACCACGTTGTATACTGTCGGGTAGATCGCTAGTCATGGTCTGAAGCCACAAATGGGTCAAATTAGCATCTCCACCCGGATGTTGTACTCTCAGCCATGGCCCGAAGCAGGTTTCCTCAAACAATTTTCTTTGTGCAGGTGAAAGCTTCGAAGCAATTGTAGTGGCTAGGCTAACTTTATTCCTTAATGTCAATGAAGCCGAAAAAAATTTCTACAAAAACAATAAACATACCAAGTTAGATATACCAAAAACTACACTGTGAAGATATACAAAAAACAATAAACATAAATAGTAGTTTATTCTTGAAACTAAAATTTGCAACACTGTTTTGTCTTTTGGTTGAAATGAAAATCGCAACGAGATAATGAAAATCGCAACGTGGAAATGACTATCGCAACGAGAGAATCGCAACGCGAAATGACTATCGCAATGAGAGAATCGCAACGCGAAATGACTATCGCAACGAGAGAATCGCAATGCGAAATGAAAATCGCAACGCGAAATGAAAATCACAATGCAATTTTGGTTTCGCGTTGCGATTATCTCGTTGCGATTTTCATTTCGCGTTGCGATTCTCTCGTTGCGATAGTTATTTCGCGTTGCGATTTTCATTCTCGAAACTATTCTTCTTCTGCATTACTTCAACTAAAAGACAAAACAAAGAAAATACTAACTTCAGAGGCTAAACAGTTTAGCAGTATTGGCAGCAATCGAATGAATTTAATAAGAAATCTAAGTGAAATGGTTAATCTATTATTGAAATTACCAGTAAACTTATCATCAATTTCAATATGAAAAACCTAAAATAATGCAAAAATTTCAAAATAATTAAAAAAACTAACCCTCGGAGGTTGATTTTCCATTTATGAATGATTGTGAGGGATTTCTGACCGTGAATGGTTGTGAGGGATTTCGCCGGCGATGGGGACGGAAATCTTCGGAGATGGGGACGGATTTCGCCGTAGAGAGTGAGAGATGGAGATGGGACTGAGTGTTGTGATTTTAGGTTTGAGGTTATGAGTTGCGATTACTGTGGACGGTTCAGTTTCCGATATATTAAGAAAAAATTCGTGTTTGGAATTTGAAAAAAAAAATACGCGTTAATACGAATGGCGCTATGTAAATCGCATTGCGATAGTAAGATTCGCATTGCGATTTACGTATTCGCATTGCGATTTTCCTAATTCCCATTGCGATTTACTTAATCGCGTTGCGATTTACGTATTCGCATTGCGAATTATGAAAATCGCAACGCGAATACGTAAATCGCAATGCGAATTAGTAAAATAGCATTGCGATAGTCAGTATCGCATTGCGATTTTCCAAATTCGCATTGCGATTTACTTATTCGCATTGCGAATTGGGAAAATCGCATTACGATAGTCATAATCGCGTTGCGAATCTGGAAACTGATTTGCGATAATGGAGATCGCGTTGCGAATTAGCGATCGCATTGCGATTTTGTTGGTCATTTTGACAAATCCGGAAAAAGTTGGTTAAAATCGTATATTATATGGGATTTTTGGTCACTTAGGTTATTTTCTCTTTTTAAAATACAAATTTTAATAGAATTTACAGTTTTTAAAATTATTTTTAATGGAGTTTTTAAAATCATTTATTTATTTTAGTTGAAATTGAAAAGGCAATCTATTAATTGTAATTTTATTAATTTATAATATTTAAAGTTAATTAGTTAGATTTAAAAAGACAATTTATTAATTGTATACTTTTTAAATACAACAAAAACAGAAAAAAAAAATTCAGATTTCTCAACATTTCTTTAGAAAAAGTTGTTTGCAGCGCCTATGCCCTTTTGTCTTAAGAATTTCTAAGTTTTTGCTCCCGTCTCTCTCTTAATCTGTTAAAAATTCCTATTATTGGTAAGTTATTTGCGATTTTTCGAGTTTTTCCCCTCATATTTTCTGTATTTTGTGGGATAAAAGATTATTATTTTTGTTATAAACTGTAATTTTTTTTTTGAAAATTCTGTAAAATTTTTCAGAAATTCCGTGGTTTTTGAGCCATTATTTTTTGAAAAATTGCAACTTCATCTCTGTTAAGCAACACGAAGTTCAGTAGATTCGGGATTTAAACTGAAATGATTGCAGCAGTTATTAGGGTTTTAATTTGGCGTCTAGTAATTTTTTTTTTCTGTATGCAGATTTTTCACCGTGGGATTTAAGAGCAAGCTAGCTTGTTAGACTCCTGGTTTAGTCAGTTAATTTTGAAAGCTTTGATCAACTGAAAGCTCCTCACTCAAGTTGAAAATTCGAAGTCCATTTTGATTTATACAAGCATTTTCGAAAGTCTTCACTTCTCGAGTTCGAGCCAGTGAGTTCAGTGGATCAAACATTGAGTGAGTTTTTCAACAATGATTATCGTTAGCAGTCAGCACCAATGTAACATTTCTTATCTGATATAATTCTATTTTGCTATTTGAAAATTTTAGGTTCTGCTGCTGGTGCTTCATGATCTAATGAAATACTTCGATAACGGCGAAGGAAAGAAGTAAAAAAGCACATATATATAATTCAATTTTAGAACACCAAACGTAAAAGTGGGGAAAATGTCGGGATCTGAGACGGGAATGATGGCGACCAGAGAGCCTTACACCTTGAGTATGCAAAAGAAGAGTCCGGTGGCGTCACAGCCGGTGATACAGAGCATGCGTTTAGCCTTTAATGCTGACGGAACAGCTGTGTACAAGCCCCTCGCTTCCGCCTCACCCACATATCTGCCGTCTTCCGACAGTGGCGGAGCGGATGGGTCCGCCGGTCCGGCGGCAGTGACTCTAGGACAAGGGCAAGCTCTGAACATGAGCATAAGCATGGGAAGCGAGCCTTTGAAGAAGAAGAGGGGGAGGCCCAGGAAGTATGTGCCGGAGAGTACTATGCCGTTGTCTGTTATAGCTCCTCCCACTGTCGGCGTAAACCAATCTAATAGCGGAGGAGGGTTCCCCTCGCCAACTCCTGTGCCACCCCCTTCAGGAGGATCAGCTTCTTCACCAACTTCAACGAAGAAAGCTAGGGGGAGACCTCCTGGTTCCGTCAACAAGCCTAAACTTTACGCTCTGGGTACTCTTTCTTTTTATAATTGATACGCGGATAAAGCATTTTGAATCCTTTAATTTAATGAATGTCTTTTAGCCAGACATTTTTTTCCCATAGCTTGGCATGGAAATGCTTCATAGTTGGGATTTAGCATCTAGTTTGTGGATGGCAGGCGAGAAGAACAAATGGGTATTGTGGAAAAAAAATAAAGCAGTGATTGTTTTGATTTTGTTTATGTTTTTAGTGTTGATTTTGGGTTTTTATTTCTGACAGAAGATGGAGTCATAGCTGCAGTGCTGAGCAATGATAATAATAACTACTGGTACTACAGTACTTACTAGTATTTACCACTAAGGATAGTCACACACAAGTATCTGTGATGCTGTGGAATCACATCTACATCTGTAGTCTGTATTGTAACTTAGATAACTAAATACGGGGATAAGGTTTTGATTCAACTCGGGATCAGTTCTTTAGACTTCAAAAGCATCACTAGAGCATGCCCTTGTTTCATTTTTCTTTTGCCTTTTTTACTCTTTTTTTAATAGCAACTAGCCTAGCCAGCAATTAACGTCTACCAAGGGTGCTTATATATGTAAAATGTACACCCACGTTCCTGAATAATACTGAAGGATTGCAGCTTTCGTGTTATTACGAGATTTTGTTATTTTCTTTTCCTTTTTCTCCTTCGTTCACTTTTTCAATATGAAGCCCATATGTTTTGTCAGCCTTCTAAAATAGACGAAATCTTAGAAGCCTGAGCTATCTTAGTACTTCGTTTGTTACTAAGGTGAAATATTTCACTGAAAGGGATATTATTGTTTTTTTTTGGGCAGGATCAGGCAGGTTTGGTTTTACGCCCCATGTTATCACTGTTAAAGTGGGAGAGGTTTTTTTCTCTTTCTCCTTTCAACTTCCACTCCCGCTTGCCCTGGTTTATGTGTAAAGCTTTGTCTTATTGTTCTTACTTGCTAGAGATAACTATTAAGGAATTTCATTTTATTCCATTTATTAATAATGGCATGTTCATCTTGTTGCAAGATGCTAATATGTGTCTTGAGTTGCTTAAGCTTCTTTTATTTACTTTACTTCTGTATAGGTCTTCACTTCCAATTAAAGTCTTCAGAACTTTATTGACTCTGGAGAAAAGAGTTGTCATTAATTCTTTGCATTTTTCATGTGAGAAAATAAAAAAGGTGAAATTGGAGAAATGGATAACTTCCCAAAGTTCCTCTTCTGACAACAGAAACCAATGAGAACAACAAAGAAATACAGTAGTAAACTAAAATTTTGATAATGCTTGTGAGTTTTGCAACTTCACAATTTATAATCACCTTATGAAGTTATGGCTGGTGAGGTCTTGTGTTGAAGTTCCACCAAGGTGTGGGTTTAGTCAATATTTATTCTGGTGATTTAGTTGATTAGTTCCGTTGTATTCTTGTTTGTCAAACTAATAAATGAATATAGTTATGCTAAGCGGGAATGAATCACTTGATCTTGATGGTGACTTTTTAAACTGGCATTCCTCTTTGTTTTTGAATAGTCTAGGGTGATTACAAGGTAGTATCTATTCAAAATCCTTTTTAAACTGACATTCCTTAAATGTATAGTAAATGGAGATACCTTTTCATTTATTAATCTTTTTCTTCCCCAAAGTGAAGGGTTTTAATCCTTCGCTTCACTGGGAGCCTATCCACTACTCTAAATTTTACTGTGCTTCTTTATGTAATGCAGTGGGTTTGTTCTTTCATTAATATAATACTTGTAGTTAACTGGCTGATCTGAAGCTAAAATTTTATGTGTCTACCTGGTTTTAGGATGTATCGTCAAAAATAATGTCATTTTCTCAACATGGTCCCAGAGCTATTTGCATTCTCTCAGCAAATGGAGCCGTATCAAACGTTACTCTTTGCCAACCAGCAACATCTGGTGGAACTGTAACTTATGAGGTTTGTGATAGGCTAAAAGATTAGTATCAAGGCAAAGAAAGCTTTTTTTCTTACTAGTAACATTTAGTGTCTGTGAGAAGGAGGTAAATACTGGCATCTAGATTCTAGGGCATTAATTTGATCATGCAATTTGTGTATCTATTTCATGTTCATGTATTTTATTGTCATAATCGTACTAAAGATGATTTTATATCTATAGAAAACTGATGTGTTAATAATTTGTATTATATAGATGTCAAAACATTCATATATTCGTTTGATATTTATGTTATTTTTTTGTATCTTATGCTGTGATGTTTTTTAGTTACCTTTCCATGGTGTCTAATATTGTCAGCATCAACCCATAGATGGATGGTCATATCCTGTTTAATATTGAACGAAGAAAACATCTTATATAATATTGGTTAATGCATGCTGCTATTTCTGTGACGTACTCTCCGACACCGTGGACGATGGCTACGTAGGTTTCAGTATAAAAGAGAATTTTGTCATGCTTCTTAGAATCATTGATGTGTGTGTAATATGCAGCCATGGAGTGTTTAAATCAGAAATATCAATTCTTAAGTATAAAGTTGGAGCTGATTCTGCCATGGGAAGCAGTGCACAGAAGTGGATATATGGCTGGCATATAGCACAACTTAGTATTTATCCTAGGGCAATGATATTAGTGTGCTTCTGGAAGCATTGTTATACTACTAAAGATGTGCCTGAAGTGAACTTTATAATGAAAATCAATTATATCACAGCCTTATAAAGAGAAAAACACCGCTTTACTAAAAGTATTTAATACTAATGGCATTATGTTCCTTTCCCATTAATGATGCAGGGAAGATTTGAAATTCTGTCACTTTCTGGTTCATTTCTTCTGTCAGAAAATGGTGGCCAGCGGAGCAGAACTGGTGGGTTAAGTGTGTCATTGTCTGGCTCAGATGGTCGTGTTTTAGGTGGTAGTGTAGCTGGCCTTCTAACAGCTGCATCTCCTGTTCAGGTTTTTTGTCCCTTTATCATTTAACATATCTAATTACTGCATTATTCTTTTGTGCAAGTATCTTTCATTTTACATATATTTTCAATCTTTTCAGGATGGTACAATATACTGTATGAATAAAAAACAGAATTTCTACAGCCTAACAAAAATGATAAATATTTTGATTGATTCTATTGTTAATACGCCATGCGGTTTTAGATCTTTATGTTGGATTATATTTATCATTATATCAACCGTCAACCATGTAACATTAGAGCATTTTGGAGGGTAATGGCCTTCGCCTCCCGTAGTAGTTATCAGGGAACTCTGTCTGTCACTCCTTAGATATGTTAATGTATTAAAATAATTATGTAAAACTGTCACAATTGATAGTGCTGCTATTGGCTTTTGGTTTCATACAATACTGGCCATCTCATTTCCGGGGTATATGGTAATGGTAATGAGCTACATATTGCTTTTATTGTAGGTGGTTGTGGGTAGTTTTATTACGGACAATCAAAAGGAAGCAAAACCAGCATACCAGATGGAAGCTCTGTCTGCCCCACCAAAGCTTGCTCCAGTGATTACCAGCTCACCTTCACACGGTACTCTAAGCGAATCCTCAGGTGGACCAGGTAGCCCAGTTAACCAGAGCATGGGAGCCTTCAATAATAACAACAACAACCCACAAGGCATGTCAAACTTGCCATGGAAGTAAACCGTGCTTTTAACTCGATAATCTGTAGTGTGTTGGCTAATGTTGTGGGGGGGGGGGTGAGAACCAGTTTTTAATTTAAGCATTGTGTAACAGAAGCAGAAATTTACGCTGAGACACGGTTGCAGCTAGGTAGGTAAGCTAGAAACGGCTGAGTACTGTTTTGCATATGTAAGGTGTAAGGTTAAAGGTGATGTTAGACAGAAAAGGCAAGTGTTAGGTGTTGTGTTTGAGATTTAAGATAGTGAGTCTAGCTTTCATGCTTTTTGTTGCTAATCACTTGCGAAGTTGGTGGAAGGGTGATAATGATGTAACTCTAGCTGAGATAGGTTTGGTTTAAACTTGTTTTGTTATTTCGTATCAGTTTTGGATGCTCATAATCGGGTATACAATGTGAGCTAATATTTTGACCTGGACCTCACCTGTTGTGAACCATGTAACTTTACATACAAGGTACTCAACCCGTATTAATATAGAGTTTTCGGTTAACGATTAATTTCGGATTTAAACTTTAAACACCTTTCTAACTTTCGTAATTTAAAAAAAAAAACCAAAATAATTAACCAATATTATATCTCATTCTTTCAATATTCCTTCGGCGAAACTTTCTCCAACTTTGTTTGGGGAGTGGGGTAAGTCATTTCACAAAGTTTAAACCAAACAAACCATTCGAGATCTACCACAGTAAAGTTGAAAGTACAATGACACAAGCAATACTTATGCTACGCTGCTTTTTTCGCTCTCTTCAATAGTAACCGTAACGAGGGAAACCCGAGCGCAAAAGTCTGCCAAAACCATCCTCTTGCATTAACAGGATCAACCCTTTTTGCCACCCGCCATGCGTACATGGCTTCTCCGACATGTGCTGCAACAGCTAAGAAAAACGCCAGCCGTATACCAAACATCGATCGGAACAAGAAAAGTCCAATTGATCTAAGGAGTGACAGTGGTCCTATGGGTGGGAACCAAGCAGTAGCAAAGTGTAGAAACATTCCAGTCACAATCAATATCCACGGATATATCATAGGTCCGTCCAAACTTTTCCTCTTCCGATCCTGCCAGTATGAGATAGTTGCAGCCATGCCTTCACGAGGACTCACCATTGGAACATATCCAAGCTCCTGCTGTGCTTTAAGGAATGAGAAGTAATGCGTAACACCAACCTGCCAGCATGCATCAGGTTCGTTAAAACATGATTTTTACAACAAAAACTGTCACGCCGTCTCGACTAGTTATCTTCATTATATATATATATATATATAAGACCAACATTTTTTACTAACAAGATCAGAATGGATCATTGAGTATTTATTTCTGGTGCTTTATGCGAAAGTCCTGAAGCAGATACATAACTCAGACCAGGAAAGGGGGAACATGATACTAAACAAACCTTGTATACTTCAGCAGGAAGAATGAAGGGCTGAGGAAGCCACCATCGATTCAAAAATGGATATAACATCGAGTATAAAGCCCAGAAAATCTTTGCCAGAAAAAGAGCATGCGAAATAGCAAGCCAGGACTTTGGCAAGTCGTAGTCTAGACTTCTTAAACATGGTCGGATGAATTCAAAAGAGTTTATTGGAGATCCTGCCAAAAGCAACTCACATCTAAGAAAAAGACTGATGAACTATAACTTGCACCTAGTCTCGATTAATTAAACTGCAGCGACAAATAGTTTTTCACAAAAACAAGGAAAAAAAAACATTGATCCCTGTTAATTACCATCAGATATGAAGTAAGGCTGACCAGCGGCAACTGGACGCCCTTCTTTTCCAGGAATGTCATCTAAAAGTCCCATGCTTGCCAAAAGTAGTGCGAGTACCAGGTTATCCACATAAACCCAATCTGTTTTCACATTAGCATCACCTATTTTGAACGGAACCAAACCCAACTTTGCCATGGATACTATCCTAGGAAAGTGTCGCTCTTCACCAGGTCCATATATAGCAGCTGGACGAACCGCACAGGTATAAAGACGTTTCCCACTATTCTTCCTGTACAGAAGAATTTTCCATGCAACTCATTTCTCATCTTAGCATTAAACAGAAGAAAATGCACAAGCAATAGCAAACTTCAGTAACAGTTAATCTAGATCATCCAAAATACTAGAGTACATCATGTCATTCAAGTAAATTCCGCATACATTTAAACGATAGTTCATCATATGACAGTAAATTGTAAACTCAAAGATTTGGTGGACAATTTTGATCAATTCACTTACTTTAAAGGTCGACCGTTGTACTTGAGAACCAATTGCTCCGCAATCGATTTACTTCGCCCATATGGATCAACGTGATCATCAATAGGGAAATAGGGCAAGGCCTCATTGCCATTGACAATCTCCTTCCCACCATACACAACATTATATGTGCTGACATAAACAAGCCTCGTGATCCCCGATTTGATGCAAGCCTCCAAGACATGGCAGGTTCCATTGATATTCACCGCATCGACACGAGAAAACTGAAGCATTTCTTTCCCTGACATCCCATAAGAAGCCAAGTGAAAAACGCAATCGGCACCACGGAGAGCATCTTCAACATCTTTTTTTGAGACAAGATCGCCTGTGGCAGTAGCAACGATTAAGCAACACAACAATTAAGGGCGGGTAAACATCTAAACGTATAAACCAATGAAATGATGGGTATAGGGTTTCCCAGAACCGGAAATTGAAGGGAGTGCACAAACATTAAGCTTAAACCCAGATTTTGTATATTACAAGTAAGAATTTGGTTCTAAAACTTTAAACCCATGTTCTTGTTTCATCCTAATATTAGAAAGGAAACCTTGGATGCTGCGGACGCCATGGTTTGTGAGTTGGTCCGACCAAGGTGAGTGGTGTCGGAGGTCAAAGGCTCGAACTTGGCGAGCACCTCTGCGCACGAGCTCCAAGCAAAGAGCTGAGCCAACGAACCCGAGTCCACCCGTCACAACGAAGATGTTGCCTTCGATGCCTTCATTTTCGCTCAAATGCATGTTTTTGCTTTGTTGCAGGACTAGATCTCGGGTAAAGTACAAGGATGACCGATTGAATGGTCAAGGAGTGAGCTTTGCCTAAGAGCAATTTGAGTCAATACGGTGTTTGCTGCCTACTTTTATTGCTTTTCCTCAAAATTATTATTTTTAATTGAGCCAATAAAATATCAATATCTTTAAAATATTTTCAGTTTAAATGATAATTTTAAGAGAAAATAACCTCCCAAAAATCTCAGATAATATACGATTTTGATCAATTTTTTTTGGATTTACGAAAATGACCAACAAAATCGCAATGCGATCTCTAATTCGCATTGCGATCTCCACTATCGCAAATTCGCGTTGTATTTTGCGTTGCGATAGTTGAAAATCGCGTTGCGATAGTTGAAAATCGCGTTACGATTTTACATTTCGCGTTGCGATAGTTGAAAATCGCGTTGCGAATTTCCATTTCGCGTTGCGATAGTTGAAAATCGTGTTGCGATTTTTCAGTTCGCGTTGCGAATAGTCTACAGTTGCGATAGTCTACAGTTGTCGTTGCGATAGTTAAAAAAAAGAGATTTTGTTTCTTAAGAATTTTCTCTAAAAATATAGTATCCGCGCGAACGTGTCGAAGACACGTATTACCACGACCACGACCACGACCCGACCCGAGAGGAGAGGAGAGGAGACGAGACGAGACGGACGGCGGCGGCGGCGACGACGCGCGAGAGTCCCCCTTGTTCTCTATCACTCAACAAGGAAGTGGGAAAGCTAAGCCTTAAATACCATTCCCAATAGTGTTTCCAATACTATGTGGGATTGAGCATTACCAACACTTGTTTCCAATACAATGTGATTATTCAGGAAACAATTAACAATCATGCACCTTAAAACAACTGAATCAGCAACCAATTGCATTAGTATTATACGATTAAATATGTCATAATTAAAAGTCAATCTACAATCAATCGCGATTATTACAATTTTAAGCAAAACATTCAAAAATAATATCACTATTTAAGGCTCAATCCCACATAGTATTGGAAACAAGTGTTGGTAATGCTCAAATCCCAAATAGTATTAGAAACACTATTGTGAATGGTATTTAAGGCTTGGCTTTCCCACTTCCTTGTTGAGTGATAGAGAATAAGGGGGACTCTCGCGCGCCGCCGCCGCCGCCGTCTCGTGGTCGTGGTCGTGGTCGTGGTCGTGGTAATACGTGTCTTCGACACGTCCGCGCAGATACTATCTTTTTAGAGAAAATCCTTAAGAAACAAAATCTTTTTTTTAACTATCACAGCGCTGTTTATAGATCCAAGTTATTTTCTCTAATTTTAATTGTGTTTTAGCTTGATTATGACGTGTTAGAAAAAAATTATTTTTAATACGTTTGATTCATAAATTTTTGTATAAAGTATTCATACTTTTGATTTAAGTATTTTAAATGTATTTCACATTAGGTCCAAGTTAACATTTATTAATTGAACATTACCTAATATTTTGAGGATGTAATTAGTATATTTTGAAGTTTATAGATCAATTTAAAATTTAGACCATAATTTGAGGATGTTAGATGCAGTTAACCCTACAGCTATAATTCATTCCTGAGAAAAATATTTTTTTCCGGAAGAATATACCGTTTGGATGGGCCACATTACCAAGTGTCAGTAAAAAATAACCTTCTCCCCCACTTCATTCTGGCTGAAATCTTATTCTTCTTCGACTTGATTATGAGTTTGTGTTCTCAAAATTGGAATTCCTAAAATTGAAATCCCTAAAAACGTTCATTCCTTCCTCACATTCCACCGCTCTAGCCTCTAACTGCGCGCTCTCGGTTCGCATTCGTCAACGGTTGTCGGTTCATCGCAACGGAAGGAGGACAGGAAGAAGAATTTAGCTCTCGCTCCCTTTGCAAAGCCACTTGCCGGCAAAAAAAGCTATGTAAGAAAACCAAGCTCACCCGCAAAGGTATCTTTTTTCCAATTTGTTCTTTTAATCAAAATCATTATATGCAAATGTTAGCCGTGAACAGAGAAACCCAAAGCTATAATTCAATGAAAAATATTCAGAAAAAATTTACAATAATCTGTGATATGATCTTAATTTTGGAAATTGGAATATTTTTAGATCAATCATCTACTAATTAGCAACAACAGAGAAATCAATAGCATGATTTTAATCGATTAAAAACTATAAATTTCTTGTTTTTTTATTAAATTTTCAGCGTCGAGTCTACTCCTTCTCTTCTCCTCAACCTGTAAACCGCTGGCACTGCTGTGCTCACGCCTCTATGAAGTTGCTTTGCCTGGTTAGTTTGCTTCGCTTTTATCTTTTCCTTTGCATTTCCCTTCAAATTTTATAAAACATTACAAAAAATTTCTAACTTTTGGAAACATTGGCATAAAAATAATTCAGGGTCCTCTGCAAATAACCTTGTTTTTCTACAGAAACTTGTATGGAATGGTTGTTCTCTTTTTTATTAAAGTCCTCGATATGGTTTCTAAGGGAACTACATGGTTTGATGATCAAGAAAGGATTTGGGGAAGGCTGTTGTTTGTTTCTGGACAATAGTTTAATGGATTTTTATGCAAAATGTAAAGATTTGAAAGGATTAAGACGAGTTTTCGACCATCTGTCTGAGAAAGATTTAGTTTCATGGAACACATTGATCATGGGTTATGTACATAAATTTCATTACTTTGAAGCTCTTAGGAATTTCAGAGTTTTAATGCATGAAGTCTGTTATTGTGATGATTTCACCATTACAGGTATTCTCAAGGCAATTTCGAGTTTACACGAGATGGACTATGGTTGGCAGGTTCATGGATATATAGTTAGGACCGGCTTAGTATTGAATAACTATGTTATGTGCTCTCTTTTGGATATGTATATCGAGTGCATCGAGCATGAGAGCTCGGAACAGTGGAAAAAGGTTCCTTTGAAAGTGTATGTTGGCTTAGAAAGACGTGAATCCAATGAGAATATTATTATAGCAAGCATGCTAAAATGGTGCTCTCTGTTATTAAATCTTGACGCAGGGAAAGTATTCCACTCCTTGGCCAGAAAACTAGATGTTCATTCCTACCCATATGTTACAAGTGCTTTGGTCGATATGTATTCCAAATGTGGGATGCCAGAGGCAGCTTCAAGGGATTTCGAAAGAGTAGAAGATCCAGGAATCATAACGTGGTCATCTCTGATCTCTGGACTTTCATGGAATGGGTGGTTTGTGGAAGCACTTACATGTTTCCAGAAAATGCAGCTTAATGGTATTGAAGCAAATGAGTTCACCTTAACATCTGTTATTCTAGCTAGTGTGGCTTTAAGTGATCTTAGAAAGGGAAGAGAATTAGATTGCAAGATACTCAAAGCTTGTTATGAATCAAATCTTTCTGTAGTTAACATGCTCATAAATCTTTACTCGGAATTAATCACCATCAAGCACTCAAGATATGTTCTTCGATTTTAGATGCTGAGATCTCATGAAATTTATTGATACAGACCTGCCTCAAGGCAAACGACCATGAAATGATTCAGACTTCTCAGGAGGATTCAGTCGTGATCCGGTTATATTGAACCGATCACTGTTTGTGATATTTTCAGATCATGTAACAGCCCGGTGCATTTGCATATGGGGATGCAAGCTCAGGCTTACATGATCAAAAGAGGTATTCTTTCGCATCCAATGAGTGTAAACGGTCTCATTCAGATGTATTCTGAATGTGGACAAATTACAGAGGCTAATTCGGCGTTCGAATTGATGCCCGAGAAGAGTTCTTCATCTTGGACGTCGATCATCTCTGCAAAAGTGGAGCATGGACATCCATCTGAAGCTCTGGCTTTATTTATTGATATGAGGAGGAGGAATAAATAAGTGGACTCAAGCACGTTAAAATCAATCTTGAAGGCATGTTTCATCTATTAAAATTTTTTATATGCTTATTTAGTTAAATGTTGATGTAAAATTTTAATATATTTTTAGATAAATAATGTAAAAAACAATATTATTTATAATTAAAATAATACATGATATATTTACTCTTTTATTCTACACATTTATCTTTTAAATTTTATAAAAAAATATTATATATAAATTTTATTAAAAAGTATATAAATTTAAAATAATAAAGTAATATATTTTCGATGATTTTTTATATAAATATTTTCATTTAAATATTTAAAATTTCACTTGTTAACACATATAACAAGGACAATTTGGTAAAATATAAGTTCCAGTAATCTCATATTCCCTAAATCAAATACTATAATCATACATTCCTGCTAAACATACCAAACACAGTAATGTAAAATTCCTAGTAATATATCAGGTAATGTTACATTCATGTAATCTCATTCCCGGAGGTAATACTACATTCCATGAACTGAACGCACCTTAAGTTTTTTTTTTCTATTTTTGTTATGTAATAATCAGTATGAATGATGAATAAAATTTGATTTGATTCGAAAAATTGAATAAAATAAATAAATTTTAAATTAATTGAATATAATATTCACCTCTGGCCAGCTAGACCAATAAAGGAGAAAAAAGCCAAATTTGATGGAGAGTATTGCAAATTAAACATGGATTAAGCTTTAAATAGATAAAACAGAGAAATAGTAGACGCCAATGAACTCTGCTGAATGCTGATAATAGGTTTTAGTTTTTATTTTAACAGTAAGACTGATTATAAAGTAATATACGTTCATAATTTTCTTAATTTATTGATAATGTACATACATTTTGTAGACCTTATTGTTTGAACCTAGCATCTTTAAGGACATTAACATTCTCTTTTATCACTAAGGTCATTTAATGATTTTGGAATAGGTTTTAGTTGTAAATTGAATTAATGCTTCTCAATTAGAACTTTGCTTGCATAGCTACAAAATTAATAATCTTTCATAGTTTTTTTTACTAGTATCGAGCGATTATAAGGGTAATATATGTTCTTAATATTTCTTAATTATTGACAACTCACATACGTTCTGCAGACGTAGCTGCTCACACGTAGTACCTCAAAGGAGAACAATATTTCATTTAACCACCAAAATCATTCAATGAATTCACAATCATCATCAGGTTAAAAATATCATTATTCGGTT